GTTCTGACCGACATCGGAAACATGTTTTCGTTGCTAAAACTTTTTTTCTCGATTATTTATCGAAGTGGAAGTCATATTTTATCATCTTTAATACGCCATTTCGGATTTATTGTTAATTGCCTGGCCAAAGCAAAATAAGAATGAAAGTTAAAGGTTGTAAATGAAAAGAAAATGAAGGAAAAATGTTTTGGTTGTCGGTCAGAACATGGGATTAAATGCAAACACTTGGAAATTGAATTTTGGTTTCACAAATTTGATTTTAAGTACATAGATTGAAAATACATCAACAGGCCATTCACTTTTCCTTAAAAGCACCAAGTAAATGCAGGCAACATGTAAACACAATACAGCTGATATGCACTTTGACACTTTATCCATTTTTACTCGGAGAGAATTTCGGGCTATTTCGGGCAGGAAGAAGAATACACTTACGATCGAATACGCTCGAATTTTCGCTCTCTATTACCCATTTTGTTGAGTACAGGCATGATTTCTGGGCTATTTTGGGCACACGCGGGATCTCGCATTGCGTACGGGAAAGAAACTACTTATATATAATTAATCGATTATCGATTCACAACAACAAAGTCATCAGCAGATTTTTGCGAAAAGTTACCTTGCCATACTTATTTACTACTTAACAAGAATTTTAGCGAAATGTTGCTGATTTTGGTTAAATAAATCATTTATTTCAAAGAAATTTTTATTTATTATTTTTGTAAATTTCTGGAAACCGATTGAAACCTGTGATTGAAATGGTTTCGGTATCGTTCCTTTTCAGGTCAAGATAACGGTTACGGTTTCGGTTTCGGTTTTGAAAAACGAAACGGTTTTAAACGGTTACGGTTTCGGTTTGGGTTTCGGTTTCATTCCTTGTCTGAGGGGACTTAAAATGTGGTGCTATCTATGTAAAAATATTAGAAAATGAATTGAAAAAGATTAAACTATATGTAAACATTCATTCATTTAAATATTTGATGCAATTTTTTTTTTTAACAAAAGCAATATATCTCTATTTGCACGAAAATATTTTGCTAGGTTATTCTAACCCTGCTCCTTGTGGGTGGACGCCTCATTTTGGTTGTTACAAACCTAAGAATTGGCTTGTTAGAATTTATACACAATTTTTTTGTGCAAGTCCCCATCAAGTCAGGTTCGAGGTCATTTGAAGGTCAAGTAGGGAAAAATTCATTGAATAAACCTGAAAATTTATATATATATATGGCGTTTTAGACTCGCTTGGCATGAATCCGAGGTCCGTTAACCTCCATAAGGTCAGTTTCGATGCCATTTGGGGGTCAAATAGAACAAAAAATTTATTCAATAAAAAATAATTTTATTTTATTTTTGTTTTTGTTGTCGCTGAATCCGAATATGGGGGTCCCTTGATTCTTCAAGATCATCTAGAGGTCATACCAAGGTCATCCCAGGGTCAATTTCAGAATAATTGTATTGAATTTTCAGGTTTATTCAATGAATTTTTGACAGACCTAGGGGATTCGCATTCAGCGCGTCGAATAACATAGAGGTATAGAGGTTTGGTTCAATATGCAGAAACTTTTTTTTGTAAACCTGTGTATTTAGCTGCAGAAAATCAAAAAGTGGGGCTCCAAATAGCGTAGAGCCTCCAATTCGTAACCGATTTCTGTTTTTTTCTTTTTTTTTAAATGAAAGTTGGTATGGCTCTGGAGAAATTTATGAAGCACTGTTTTTGAATTTTCATGCGTTTATATTAATTTTTTGTGTGCAAACTGCAGAGAAAATAGCAAATTTGAAAAATCAATTCCCCTGCTCCTGTTAATAAATGTTGCATAGCAAAACTTCTTGAAAACAATTAAAGGGTTCCTACAATAAGAAAAAAATCCCCAATATATTTAAGAAAAAATTTCCAAGTATTAAAAATTAAGTTTTCTTGTTCAATTTAAAAAAATATTGCGTTTGCAATTTTATAGCCTATTAAAGTCTAGTGTTTATTAAACTTACAAGTGCAAGTTTCAAGTGGTTAAAAAA